CTTCCATCAAGAAGAAATTACAATAAATAGTTAATCCAGGTGTTTTTGTGAATTAGTTTAAAAAACAGACTAATTGAAATGCTATTCTATGACTCTATAACTTAAACTCTACCCCTTTCTTAAAATTTCATGCAAATACAAATAGACAGACAGAGACAAGAAGTAAACATTGAGGTTGGGGAAGGAAAAGTGAGGGAGAAGCACAGTTCGGGCACCAATCCAATGCAGGAACTTGGGCCCTGCTATTAAATTTAGCTCCTGGAATCCAATAGTGTACACACCATTGCACCCAGGACTTTTAGCACTTGTCAGAAACCCTGGTTACAAGTAAAAGCTACTACAGTGGACAGCATGCTGTGGCTTTCTGTTCTATAAGTGATGAGTTATCAATGAGTTATCATCTTTCAGCTCCTTCCAATTCGTTACGAGTGATGTTGGGGTTGTGGGTATGCTGATTCTTAGTCTTGTTCTTACTGGTTGAGGACTCACCCTGACAAACTGAGGCATATAAATAACAAGTGGGACGGAACACCAACGCTTCACCGGAGGCGCACTGAGGATGTTACCTCGCAGGGTGACAAAATGTCTGCAATCAAACACACCGGCTCAGCGAGCAAGTCTGCAACCTCATCCACAACTCGAGCTACAAATCTTCTCGGTTTCTATGATACTAAGTCACACTGTCTGACAGAGAAAGTACCAGTTCTGTGAAATACCAGTTTTATAACCCAGTAATTGGAACAACATTAACATTTGCAAACCCAAGTACTAATGCATCACTTATAGAACAGAAAGCCACAGCATGCTGTCCACTGTAGTAGCTTTTACTTGTAACCAGGGTTTCTGACAAGTGCTAAAAGTCCTGGGTGCAATGGTGTATACACTATTGGATTCCAGGAGCTAAATTTAATAGCAGGGCCCAAGTTCCTGCATTAGAAACACACAGCCCATATACACATGTACACACATACACTTGGAGACATTAACTGAAGCTTTCAAGTTGCACACTCCACAGGCAGTGAACCTAACACAATTTATTTACTTGTTCAGGGCTCATTAGCCACTGAGATCATTGTTACAGATATCATAAAATTGGCCAGGTTTTGTTGGCCATCCTGCAAGCTGTGTTCCATTGATGAATGTTCATGCATCAGGGCCATCTGTTTCACACTTTGTACTGGGTCTTAAATGCAAATGTTTCTGCACCACTGTGTCTTCAGGTACTTTTATCGAAAGGCAACACTGAGCAGGCTGACTGAAAGAATCTTGGTAAAAGTATAGGCATTTGGAGTAGAACACCTGCCCTGTGATCCAGACCAGAATTGGGATAGAGAGGAAAACACAGATAATATGTCCTATTGCATTGTTTTAACAATGAACTTCCTCCTTCCACCCGTGTCACTAGTTACTCTCCCACTTACCAGTCACTGTTCACAAAGGGCAACAAGAGAAGACTGCAGTTATATTTTCCTCCCGATCCTTCAATTCTCTGCCTCTCTCTTATAAAACTCCAGTGGCTATGGCCCAGAAATCAGTGACACATAATAAGTTGCGCACTGTTCACAAAAGGTGGGGCATCTTTATTATGCTACAAAGCTATAGCACGTACTAACCCTATCACAATAATAGATACTCACAAAGCGACTGATGTCTTAGAAATGCTGTGAGCCAGATACAATCTCAGGTGGTCAATCCATCAACTAATCTTCAGAGCAGGTGACCAAACTACTGGAGCCCAAAGTTTTCTTAATGTCTGAATTTATACCTTTTCCTTGTTATGATTGTGTGCTGTGTAAAGTATTACCAAGTTTTTGCTCCTTTCTAAATTGCTTTTCAGTTACAACACCACCTTGTTGGAACTCACAATCATGTATTCCCTCTGCCCTCCACCCCTGACCATTCCCACCCCCCAAGGCTATGCTTGAAGAAACACAGACCGCTGATTGGAGTGGTCTAACTCTGTTATTTTTATGGTGACAGAAATATTAGGCTGCACCTCCAGCACAGTTGACTTTCAGCAAAAGAATCTGTACCTTAGCCAATGTCTTCCCATCTTGCCTTCCTGTCCCCATGACCATCATGCACTTGTTTGGTGAGGGTACCAGTTTCTTCTTTGATAGCCATTCCATTACTGTGAGACAAACCCAGCACGCAGGACTTCACCACAACCATTTTATATCCATTAATAAGAAAGGAATGAAAGCACAGTTACATGATTCAAACTGATTTAATATGAACATAAATACTACATTGGCTTTGAGGTTTTGTGTGTGTGTATAGATTGACTTATACCCTGGAGATACAATCACGGAGCTTTTGTGGGAAAGGTCCAGGTAATATCAAAGTTCATGGATTCCCATGTAAAGAAAGAGGGCTTTAAAGCGAACAGTCCAGCTCTAAACTTGGTCTTGGAGAAGACTTCAGTCAGACTGTGACTCTAATGTCTGTAGGTAACACCAACTCTAACCCCCTCCTGCTTCAACGGTACAATGTGCACAGTGGATAACCCCCATCACCCTGTCTCTAATGGAGATGGGTCAGAGACTGGGGGAAAAATCCAAACAAACTGTTGGTAACAGCAAGAAAGGAGTTAAACCATTTGGCTACCTTGGGCTTGCTCTACCATTACATTAGGTACAACTTATACCTGGGCTAATGAGACAAACCAATTTATAGTTCTGTGTCTCTTGATACCCTTAGTGAATAAAAATAGATCTATCTTTGCCGTGAAAACTCAAGAGGAAGTACGGCTCAATAAATGTCAAATGTTGCCTGCCTCCAGTGAAAGGAAACTGTTCAAATCAGTCTGTGTGCCAACCAAAAAATTGCTTCTCTCTGCTCCTTAATTTTCTTCACCACCCTGTGAGCTGAGTAACCAGATAAGTACCATGACCCCAAGTCTCTCTCTATCTCTTAGTTCCGAGCTATCTTGCCTGCTGATTTTTGCTAGTGGGAAATCACATTATTATCATCTCTCGACAGCCTGCCTTCTCTTCCCAATTGGAAATAGTCACCATGTAGGGAAATTGATAACTTCAAACTTGGCTGTTATCGCTCTCTGCTTTGATCGGCTTGATGGCACATTTGACTCAGAGGTTGCAAGTTCAAGTCTGACTGCAGTACATTAAAGTGGGTAACTTGTGCAGTGCTTTAACGGAGATAACACTCTGCGGATGAGAAGTTCAACTGGGACCTGATTTGCATGCTTCCTTCACTTATAGACATTTTTAATCAGCCTGTTCAGACATCTTATTATATACCTACGAAGCAGGACTTGAACCCAGGCCTTCTGGCCCAGAGGTAGGGATACTTTTACTACACAACAAAAGCTCTCCAAACATTGAGAGCTGGCAGGGAAAATGCTTCATTTCTAATATGTACCCAATGATCCTAATGCTGAACCTTTAGAAACGCTACTGCATATTTACTCCATGACTGTTTTCAAAGTACATTAATGACTGATTTTTGGGGGTGCAGTTTTGAAATTTGAAGTTTACCCAAAACATCTGCGAAACAGCCTGAAAAGGGACACAGGTTGGTGGGATGGGCAGATGAAATTCAAAGTGAATAGTGTGTGAAATAATATATTTTGGTGGAAGAATTAGGGAAGGATACAAGCTATATAGCACAATTGTAAAAAAAAAAAGGTGTGGGACGAGAGATCTAGGGTTGTTTTCACGAATCTTTGAAGGTGACACAACAGGCTAACAAAGCAATTAATAAACCCTGAAGCCCTGAGTACAAAAATCAGAATGTTATTTCCCACCAAACTTGCCTAGTACAGTAATGCCTTCACTCTCTAGGCATGGCTAGAATAACCATTTGGGTGAATTAACAGGCAATGGCTGTTGCCGTTGCAGCTAATTCCTCATGTGAACGTGCCAACAATTTCAAGCGGTTTAAACATTTTACCTAAAATGCGCTTGTTGTAACCGATCAAAGTCAGAAGATTGGATTCTGTTGCGAGCTTAGCAAGATTTTATTGAACTATTTGTAACAAAGTGGAGAAGAGTTGTGAAATACATGTCTCAACACGCTGACCCATGTTGAAAGGTCAGAGCAAGAACAGATGATAATTACAGCGCGCAGGTGCTATGAGCTAAGGCTGTGTATGGTGCTGCACTATAGGTCACCTCATCACTGAGATACACATTGCTGTACATTAACTTTCATTGACCCTGAATGGATGGACAAGCATTGCAGATGATTTTAAAGGCTCTGTTCTGTGTGATGCCAAGACATAGAATCTGCTTCCGGGCCTGCACCTTTACCTTGCAATGTGCAGCCCAAGTTGGTTGAAGTTATGGTATCCCTTGAAAAGGCTACAGTAATTCTGGATTAGAAAGATGAGCATGATTTCTTTTCTCAGTTAGTCCTCTCCTGGCTGAAGAGGACTGGTTTGCATTTGGACACAGGGATGAGAATGTGATCTGACTCAACAGCTCGTGATCCTTCCTGCATCTGTCTGTTTAACCCTGTAAGAAGTTTTGTGGGTTTCAATAAGATCACCTCTCATTCTTATAAATTCTACAGGACAGAAGCCTCCAACTCCAAATAGGACAGCCCCACCATCCCAGGAATTAGTTTAGTGGAATTCCATAATGTTCCCTCTATGGCAAGCACATCTTTCCTTGAGTAAGCAAAACTGCACCCCATTCTCCAGGTGAATCCCCTCCAAGGTTCTTCACAATTGAAGCAAGACAACTTTACTCCTGTACTCAAATTCTCTTGGGTTATAGTCCAACATATTGCTCATCTTCCTAAATACTTGTGGCATCTGCTTTTTACCATTCCATAACCTATGGATAAAGACAAACAAATCCCTTTGGACATCAAAATGTCCCAATCTCTCACCATTTAAGAAATACCCTGTGCCTGTGTTCCTCCCACAAAAGTGGATGACTCCGCACTAGGCAAGAGTTTGCGGCATCGCGAGAGAGAACTGAAAACTGTCCATGGTATATTTTTCTTAATATTTATATCTTCCTTCTCTTTTACAGGCAGAGCAGCCCCGAGATAACTGGATCATTACAAAGGTAGGACACTGGTTCTATATTTTTCTGGCCAACAGACTGTTGCTCTCTTTTTTTGTAGTTTGAACTGCCAGTGAGAAACAAGGTCACTCTCCCATTTTGAGACAGTGCTCCGAGTCTATGTCATATTGGAATAATGGAATTTGGATTGATGTGCAGTTGGGAGGGAGCTTTTGTAGAACCAGCAAATTAGTTGATTTTTTTCCAGCTCAGAGGTCATGTAAACCCCTGCTGATTTCCTCAGTAATACTTTTGAAGGTCACAAGATAAATACAGATGAAGAAATCTATTCACTGCAACTTAGCTCATCTGTGTAGAAAACATGGTCACAACCAGTTGCATCCAACTGTTCTTAAGTCACTTTGAATCTTCTCCTCTTCTACCATCCTAGTTGCATGTACTAATTGTACTCAGTGTTTGCAGAGTATGCTAATATTGGTCCTAAATTTGCTTTTTCTCAAATTAATCTATGTCTTTTTATGACCTTATTTCTTTGTTTATTTTGAAGTAACACTTACTGGGACAGCAACTTGTACTGATGTAATGGCATTAATTAAAGAAATGTTCTGAATCGCATCCGAGGTAAAAAATGACACAGATGTGTGAAAGTGATTGTTAGGAGAGATGACGAGATGCTTAATTGAAGAGATGGGTTCTAAAGAGTGCCTGAAAGGAGAAGAGAGAGTTGGATGGGCAGAGAAGATCCAAGAGAATGTTGCAGAGTTTAGGACCTAAACAGTTGAAAACATTGTCACCAGAAAGTTAAAGGATGTGTGAGACTGAGTGGGAGGAATGTAGAGTTTTTGGAGGGTTGTGGGGCTGGAAAAGGTTAGAGAGCTAGGGATAGGTGAGACTTTGAAGGGATTTATATCTTTTTTATGATGACGACTATTTCAAATTGAAGGTTTCAGGCCCTGAGAGGAAATGTAGATCCACGAGGACAGGAGTGATGGATAAGAGGAATTTGATGAGGGATGAGATATGGATAGCAGTAATGTATTCTGCATTTCTTTTTTTGAGGTTTTAATATTCACAGAGTGTTCGCTCAACTAATAAATGTAGGCTTTTCCAGTTAGAAATCGTGGACTTATTGCATCCTTTTGAATAATGCAGAAAGCCAATCTGTATTCTGTAATCAGTATATATCAATATTTACCTCATCCATTGAAGCACCAATGTTCTGGTTATTAAGCTGGAGAGGGTTGAGTAAATATTTACCAGATGTTGCCGGGAATGGAGGATTTGAGTTATAAAGAAAGGCTGGATGGGCTGGGACTTTTTTCATTGGAATGTAGGAGTTTGAAGGGTGACTTTATCAAGGTTAATAAAATCATGAAGAGTACAGATATGGTGAATGGCAAGTTTTTCTCCCCCTAGGATTGGGGATTTCAAGAATAGAGGGCATATTTTTGAGATGAGAGGAGAGAGATTTAAAAATGACATGAGGGGTAACTTTTTTACACAGAGAGTGATTCATGTGTAGAATGAACTTCCAGAGAAAGTGGTGAATGCAGGTACAGTTACAACGTTTAAAAGACATTTTAGATAAGTACATGAATAAGAAAGGTTTGGAGGGATATGAGCCAAGCTCAGGCAGGTGGGACTAGTTTAATTTGGGATTATGGTTGGCACGGGCTGGTTGACTGAAGGGTCTGTTTCCGTGCTGTATGTCTCTGAGAAGTTGCAGGCACAGTTGAGGGTCATTTTGATCTTTGCTATTTACCATGAACCTTCATGCTTGCTTCCAATGGAACAGGTGTCACCAAATTGAACAGCAACTCCCAGAAACCCAATCCTGCACATAAAAGTTAATTTACAAATCTTTATGAAAAGACCTGACCATGTATAGTTTATGTGACAATACTTTGTTTTCCCACTTGTTCCTTAACCTTATAATTTAATTCTCAAATGGGAAGTGTTGGCGCCCTAGTGGCTTTATTTTCTTAAAATACATTCAGTCTCAAGACGTGGCCATCATTGGCAAGCCTGTTGCTTGGCCATGGTTTTCCTTGAAGGTGTTGGTGAGTCACCAGAAATGGCCATTTGATGTCTAAGGCAGGGATCGCCAATAATCTTTCTGCCATCTATCCTCCTACATCGGTCCTGGTTGAGATCACCGGTCTGAGAGGGGCCATCAAAGAAATAATGAGGATGATCAAGGGGCTGAACTGAACAAATTCCCATTCCCGACTCCCTGCTGCATGAGGCTGCAAATCAAAGACTTGTGTTGCTTTAGGCAGGGAGTCCTGATCCATGTGGTTTCTGAGCAGTTGGTGGGAATTCAGTCACTTGTGCAAAACTGATTACTTAGCTGTGTCATGTGACAATGTCAGCTATCCGTAGTCAGCCTTGGAGGAAGGTCCCCACAGTTAAGGACCAAAGCTCCCAATGGAAATTCCTACAGGACTTATAATTGAACTTGATGGACCCCATGACTCAATTGGCATCAGGTACAAAGCTGGGGAGTGGGAGTATTGAATCTAAAATGCATGCTTTATATTCCAAAATATCCCAGTTGACCTTTTTATTGAAAAATCAGATGGTTTGTCTCTCACACAAATGTTGAACATGAAGTCAAGATGCAGGATTCCCCTTCTTCAGCTGTGGGAGTTGTAGACCTTGGAGCACACTTTGAGCAGGAAGGCAAGCCAACAAAAGCAGCACAGAAATGGCAGGAGGCCAGGGTCAGGGCTATTTCTGTGTTTGAGTGTCATTAATGAGGAGAACATTATGTAATTATCATCATATGGGGAGACAGTGGCCTAGTGGTATCACCGCTGGACTGTTAATCCAGAGACCCACGTAATGTTCTGGAGACCTGGGTTCAAATCCTGCCACGGCAGATGGTGGAATTTGAATTCAATAAGTATCTGGAGTTAAGAATCTGATGATGACCGTGAATCCATTCACGACTGTTGGAAAAACCCATCTGGTTCTTTAATGCCCTTGAGGGAAGGAAACTGCCATCCTTACCGGGTCTGGCCTACATGTGACTCCAGACCCACAGCAATGTGGTTGACTCTGAACTGCCCTCTGGGCAATTAGGGATGGGCAATAAATGCTGCCTGGTCAGCAATGCCCTCATCCTGTGAATGAATAAAGAGAAAAGAAACAGCAGGACTCCATCAAAGAGTTAGCAGCTTCAGAGAGCTGCTGCCCTACAAAGGATTATCTCATCAAACTAAAACACTCTGGCTATGAGAATCAGGATAACAAACAATCCTGCTGTTTACATCTCTTTAAAGGAGAACGAAAACTTTCCTGTCTTTTAAAAAAAAAATTTGCTTACATTAGCAAGTTCATCATCAACAGGTTTGTGAGGAAATCTCACTCCATAGAAAAAGGAGCAGATTTAGGCCATTCAGCCCATTGAGTCTGCTCCACCATTCCATCATGGCTGATATCGTTCTCAACCCCATTCTCCTGCCTTCTCCCTGTAACCTTTGACTCCCTTACTAATCAGGAACCTATTTATCTCTGTCTTAAATACGCTGAATGACTTGGCCTCAACAGCCCTCTGCAGCAATGAGTTCCACAGATTCGTCACCCTCTGACTGAAGAATGTTCACCTCATTCTCAGTTATAAAGGGTCATCCCTTCACTCTGAGGCTGTGCCCTCGAGTCCTAGTCTCTCCTCCTTTTGGAAACATCTTCTCCACATCCATTCTGTCCAGGCCTATCAGTATTGTTTAAGTTTTGATGACTCCATCGAGTACAGACACAGAGTCCTCAACTACTCCCATTATGGCAAACCCTTCATTCCTGGGATCATTCTTGTAAACCTCCTCTGGACCCCCTCCAACACCTGCACATCCTTCCTTAGATACAAGGCTCAAAACAGCTCCAAATGCAGTCTAACCAGAACCTTATACAGCCTTAGCAGCACATCCCTGCTCTTGTATTCTAGACCTCTTGAAATAAATGCTAACATTGCATTTGCCTTCCTACCTGCCAACTGAACTTGCATGTTAACCTTAAAAGAATCCCAAACTTGAAATCCTAAATCCCTTTCAGCTTTAGATTTTCGAAGCCTTTCCCTTTTTAGAAAATAGTCTATGCCTCTGTTCTTCCTTCCAAGATGCTTAACCTCCCACTGGCCCACATTGTATTCTAAATGCCACTTCTTTGCCTGCTTAGCCTGTCCAAGTGCTTTTGCAGCCACCCCGCTTCCTCAACACTACCTGTCCCTCCACCTGTCTTTGTGTCTTCTGCAAATACAGCAACAATGCCCTCAGTTCCTTCGTCCAGATCATTTAATTATGACCTGAACAGTTGTGGTCTTAATACAGGCTTTTGTGGAACTCCAGTAGTCACTGTCTGCCATCCTGAAAAAGACCCCTTTATCCCCACTCTCTGCCTTCTCTCAGTCAGCCAATCCTATTTCCGTGCCAGTACCTTGTCTCTCGCATCATGGGCTCTTGACTTATTTAGCAGCCTAATGAAAGTTTCTCCAGCACTTTCTATGTTTGTCTGTGGTCAAAACTACACCATTTTGGGAGTGAAATTAGGAAACACGTCACCTCACAATGAGTGGAAGCATTTGGAAATCTGTTCTGCAAATGATATCACAACAATGATTACTTTTAAAAACTCTGAGGTATTGATTTTGCTGACCAACGTTGTTGTTGAGGGTGGGTATGTGGGATCCAGGTTTGTAGATCGGCCAGGAGCTAAATAAGTCGTGAAACAGGCCCAAGGTGCTTCCTGAGATAGTAGGAACTGCCGATGCTGGAGAATCTGAGATAACATGGTGTAGAGTAGGATGAACACAGCAGGCCAAGCAGCATCAGAGGAGCAGGAAAGCTGACGTTTCAGGTCTGGACCCTTCAGAAAACCCGAAACGTCAGCTTTCCTGCTCCTCTGAAGCTGCTTGGCCTGCTGTATTCATCCAGCTCTACACCTTGTTATCCAAGGTGATTCCTCCTCTTTTAATGTGCGTAGGGTCTGCATCGCAGCAAAAGAATCTCTGGGGATTGGAAGCAGGTGAAGTTGTGGGGGACACC